CAAGTCCAAATGCCCTATGTAACCCGCCGTCGACAGCGACTTGGGGATGCCGCCCTTCAGGTTGTTATACGACAGATCCAGCACCGTGAAATATGATCTCGCCCCGAACACGTCCGGTATCGCACCCGACAGCCCGTTTCTGCTCAGGTTCAGGTCGCTTATACCCGAACTGAACAGGCTGTCGGGGATTCTGCCCCATAAACTGTTCCCGTCCAGATTCAGGGTCGACAGTACTCCCATTCTGCCCACGCACTCCGGGATGGGCCCCGCTATCCTGTTCCTAGACAAGTCCGCGTCCGCCAGCCGATATATTCCGCAAATAGAGCTGGGAATCGTGCCGCTCAGCTGGTTCCCGCTCACCAGGGCCCTGCTCAGCATCCGCATCCTCCCCATGCTTCTCGGGAGCTGCCCCGTTATTCTGTTGTTTCTCAGATCCAGGTGCATCAGGCCGCCCAGGTTCGTCAACGACGCCGGGATTTCCCCCGTTATTTGATTGTCCGCCACGTTCAGGACGGTCAGGCCCCTCAGCCTTCCGATGTCGCCGGGGATGTCGCCCGATATTCGGTTCCCAATGAGGTCGATGATTCGGAGGAAGGGCAGGGAGGTGATGCACGGAGGGATTTCTCCCGAGATGCCCTTCCAGTCAGCGACGGTGATGCTGGAAAGTCGACCGAGCCTGCAAACTGCGGGGGAGATGTATCCTGTCATGTAGCCGGTGCGGCGGGCTTTCTGGAACAAGGGGTCCTCGGATTCGCCGCGGAGATTGATGTCGGCGACGCGGCCGCTGCGCTGATCACAGCTGACGCCGTACCAGTTGTGGCAGCAGTCGGTGCCGGTCCAGGAATTGAAGATGCCCAAGAAGGGCTCGTGGAGTGCGGCCTTGAAGGCGAGGAGGGCAGCCCGTCGGAAGGGGGGCAAGAGAGGACCGCGGGGCTGACTGCCAGGAGCAGCAGCAGCGCTCCCATAAACCGACTCGGAGTTGCTCGAGCGTCCATTGAGTGGGAATTGCTTGCCGTTGCAGCTGCAGTGTCTCCGATGTTTTTCGAGGACGTGAAATCAAAGCTGTGGCCTCACTGGCTATAATATTTTAGTTATTACCACAAATGTGTGGGACCGGGGAGTGTCTGCATGCAAGTTCGGGAATCTGACACCTCATTTATAGACTCCTCCTTGGTCTTTTCTTGTGACCGTTTTGCCCCCCGCAACACTCCTCCGCTCAAATGAACAGCGTAATGTGAATAAATTAGACAAACTGTAATGTGTGCTTTTTTCACCAGGAGTACGAACAAGTTGTGTATTTACTTACATGTGAAAGTGAAAGTAACAAAGAGGGAAGGATATTGGGGTGGTGAAGTGGAAGAACAGGGGAACATGGGAGAGGAGGAGGTAGGAGACAAGAGAAGGGTGGGAGGAGGACAGGGAGGGGAAGTGAAAGCATGCAGGCACATGATAGGGGCAGGGATTGAGCGGAGGCAATTGGCACAGGACAAAAAGTTTCTCATCATCATCGATGTAAACGTACGTGTAATTTCTATGGGTATTGGATTTTGGCATATGACCCAGGAGCAGGGGCATGTGGACGGAGGGATAGCAGGGTTTGGGGTCCCGCGGGGCCAAATAATTGATGCCCATAACTACTTCACCACCATGCCCATCTACGGCTGCGATAATCAAGCTGGGAATTAATTATTAGTGACCTCAATGGGTTACTGTGCGGTGGCATCTTCTATATATATATATATATATATGCATGTATCTCGACAATTGTCAGAACGTACACCCCGGCCCCTTATGGCAAAAGGGTTCCTTTGTCTGTTTATCTTATTAGAGATGCATTAGCGCATGTTATTCATATATTCCTTTAATCTTGGCTGTGAATGATTTGTTTAACTTACGCATGAGATTGCTGTTTGGAAATTAGGTTGTACAACTACAGAGATGGTGCCATGACACTTGTGAGTGTGATCCGCATGTGAAATAATGTGATATGCTCTGCCACCTGCCTGGGTCTCGTAATAGAAGCATGCATTTACTTTTTGCACCCACAACCCTTGCTCCATTATATCTTGCTCCCGAATCCCACGTATATTTGGTCATGATATTGTTCTTTCTTTGCCCGTTCATGCCTCGCTCTCTCGTGTTATGGGTGATGATCAAGAAATCCATGTCCAGAGAAACATAGAGCATGAAGAGCAGCCATTTGTAAAGATAAAACGAGGCCCACAATTTCCTGTTTGACTTCATATCCAACTTATAGTTTCAAGAAGCGGAATATTAATGTTTTGGGACTCTTGTTCAACCATATCGCCGGTCGCCGGTGTACGTATCATTATATCGGCGTTCTCGGGGACGAAGCGGCCAGGAGAAGCATGTGCGCAATTTAGTTTTAAATCGAGCTTATTAGATTGGGTTATATAATAGCGATTTGTTTGTTTGGGGAAAGCAAAAATATTGGAACATAGGGTTCCAAAATCTGCTCGAGTAATTATTGATGGATGCACATGGATTTCAACCAATATCTCGGTATATATGCGAGATCAGTGGTTGCGTATTATAATATGACATAATTTATAATATAAATCTGAAAGAGGCGGGAAGCTTCGGAACATGAATATCGATACGACAATGTTTACCAGCGGCCATGTGACATATCCCTTTCTCCCAAATTAACAGGCAGGGGGCACCCAATCAGTGATGGATCTACAGTGACACTTACGGAGGGTGCCAAATTTATTGTTTTTTTTTTTAAAAAAGATGTATGCATGTATTTTTTTCATCTTAAAAGTATATCATCATTTTTTTTCAAAAGATTAATTCAATAACATACACGAGAAAGGACCATTAAATTTAGATAACAAGCTATATATAATATGAAAAAAAAATAGAAAGTGAAGATATGCAGTACATTAGTCATGCAACAAAAGTTTAAAAGAAATACGACAAACAAAAATCAGCTTTTGAAAACAAGTAGCCGGGGTCCGGGTGCCTTGAGGAGTAATTAGAGTGGTGGCGTGGAAGGCATGGAGGTGGGGATGGATATGTAGAGGATAGGGGTGAGGATCAGATGGGCAAGGCCAGGGCTGGTGCTAATTAGGTAGATGGAACCTGCAGGCTGCATCTTGTGTCTTCGTCGGACATGGACCCATCTTTTGCCTCCTATTTCCCATTCCTCCTTTTTCTTTCTCCGCCACCATGATGATGGACAGCCCTTAGTATGTATATTATATATGCATGCAGTGCATGCTTAGATCATCCCTATTATCCTGAAACCACACACCAGGGATCGTAGAGTACCCTCAACTAACCTTGTCTCTTTTTGAACCAACTTAGCATGGCACATCACGCAACCTCGTGTCGAAGTGCGTTATTAGGCTCTAACCTCATTCATTAATTAATCCTTCCATTATTGTCCCCATCTCTCCCGCGCAAAACAAAATGCGGAGATATTTTTGGAGTCATGATGAACAACATTTTCAAATTTTATTGAGCGCCTGCAACATTTACGAGCACGGACTTGGTGAAGATGACTTGTAAATGCTCGATTGTAATCTGTATTGACAAGTGCTTAAAGAAGGAAAGACAGCAAATTGACGACTTCCTCGCAGGATATCAAACTGATCAGCCCCGTAGACCGATCAGGCTCTCCAGCCTCCTGCAGTCGCCTCTTGATGCTTGATCATGCTATTTGAATCCGCGTCATTATTTACATCTCACTAGACAGTATACAAGTTGTTAATTATTTATGCAGTTGTGTATTTAATGAAAAGGTTAATATGTTTACAGAATTTCATTTCGATATTGAATAGTATCCCATAAAATTTTAAAACAGTTATATATAATCTTCTCACTTTTAAAAGTTTAAAATTAACTCTCCTGACCTTTAATTTTATTTTTCAAAACCACCTAATGTTAATTATATTATTTTTTTATGAGGGTTAAAATGTCATTTAACTAAAAAATATTATAATTTAGTCTAATATTGCCATGTTAGATTAATTTTAAAATTTATCTAATATTTAAATATTTAATATTTAAAATTTTAAATATTTTAGCCATGTACATTGTATTAACCTAACATGAAAAATAAATAAAAATTTATCTTTTAAAATAATAAAATCATGAACCATTGATAACAAAAAAACATGAATAAAACTAATATAAATATAACTATTTAAAATTTTATACAGTGATAGTAATTTTTTTTTATTAATGCTTCAATTATTCAAAAATATCAAAAATTTATTATAAACAATTATACAGTATAATATTTTTTTAATAATATTTGTAATTGAATGACATTTTAACCCTCATAAAAAAATAACATAATTAATAATAGAAGGTTTTGAAAAATAAAATTGAAAATTAAAAATTAATTTTAAATTTTAAAAAATGAGAGATGTACATATAACTATCTTAAAATTTAAAAGATTTTATATATTTTAATCATATTTTTACAGACCTAAAAAAGAAAGCAGCATGGTTCAAGAGGGAGCCCAATAAAATGGGAGAGGATTTTTGTTTTGTTTTTTGTTTTTTTGGTTTTTCCTGGTTGAACAAATGGGAAAGGATCTAGTGATGCGATTAGGTGGAGAATATATAAAGGTGCCACACAAAATCATCTGCCGCAGCTACCAAAAAAAAAAAATCATGTGCCACACTCGCGTCTCACCAATGCGCCGCGTGGCACAAGCAGGCCCCACTGCATCGATGTTATTTTTTTTAAAAAAAAGTATTATGAAAGGCGAAATAATAACAGGAACAGGTAGGATCTGAGAAGTTTGAAGGAGCGGTTTGTGGTGAAGATTATTTTCTCCATGTAGGAAGGATCGGGAAAATGGATTTTTGGGGGGGTGGGGGGGGGGGGCTGCTCTGGAGGAAGTGGGGAAAGTAGCAGGAGTAATTTGAGATGATGTGGCATCTTAATATTTTTCCAGATTCATAGAAATAAAAAAGAGAAAGGAAGCCACATTTGGGGGGGGGGGGGGGTAAGGAAAGGAATATCCCAGAAAGAAGGGGTCATTATAGTCAGAATGGAAGGGAAACGTACCAAATCTGGCCTCGCCGGTTTGCTTTTCGTTCTTCTTTTGGAGTGTTTATGTTTCTGCCTTGCATCCTCATATCGTATTATTTTCAGCTATTGCTTTTGCTGCTACGGTGCTTGCCCCTCCCCTTGCCTTCACATCACTCTCTCTGCGGCTCTGCTCCGCGGGATCAACTACTGACCTCCCTCCTCTGGATTTGCATCCATTTCCTTCTTCTCTCATAGATCTCGATCGGGTTGCGGTTTTTATTTGATCTCCTAATTACACCAGACGCAAGAGAGGAGGAATGGACTCAAATCTCCAGCAGCATCTCCCTGTGTTTCGCGATCCGCACCAGATTAATTCGGGTTGACACGTTACCAATCGGCGCCCACCTCCTTTTTTACCGATATAATTGACAAGGAGTGTTATGAGCACATGTTCAATCGGTCATCCAGCCCCGAAACCGAGCGAGTTTTTTCGCGCCTTATCCGTAGCTTTGCTGAGGACCCCCCTCCTCAGAATCTCCCGCCCCTCGCCGTAAAGCAAGAGGTCAGCCAGAACCAGCAGCCTCAGCCTCAGGCTGTGCCGCCTGTCAATAATGAAGCCGCGGTTCTGCCGCGGCAGCAGAACAGCACGAACATTTTCGACGGTGCGCCCTGCAATTTATACCCGAGCTCAGCGCGACCCCCTCTGCCAAATCAGGGCCTCTCTTCGGTTAATCGGCTGCCCCCTATGAAGACTGGAATCGGAAACAGTACTTGTAACCTTACCAGGCATAATAGCTCGCCCCCAGGACTCTTGGCTAACTTCAACATTGATCCTGGTATGTCTTCTCCTTTTCTTTTCCTGCTTTTACTCTTTCTTTTCTATTTTCTATTTTCCTTCTTCCGAAAAAATCTCTCCGTTTCACAACTCCGTGGCAAATTTATGTCCTTGGCTTAGCTATTCTGGGTGTTATTTGCTGCCCGCTTGCTCACGCCAGTGGGCCTAATTCGTTATGAAAAATTAAAGGAACGAGGATACAATTAATATAAACGGTCTTGTTAGAATTTGCCGGGGGTATATATGATATCAATGCCAAGGTCTTCTGAAGCCGGGGTCAGTATCTGCAGGCTATGCTGCGGCTGTGAGAGGCATGGGGACTTTTGCAGCTGGAGATATAGCCACCGAAGCGACAAGCTTTCCTTCTGCAGAGACGTTGAAGAACCGACCACCGGCTTACCTGTCGGGGTTAATGTCATCCATACCTGAGATCGGAGATAAAAACAACATGGAGCTAGTTAATCCCCAGAAGGAGGCCTTTAGTGAAAGTCAGGGTAATGATTTTATGTCTGGCTTCCCCGTAGATCCTTGGGACGATTCTGCAATCATGTCTGACAATATCAGCGGTCTAAAAAGATACGGAGATGATGAGGATGATACAAAACCATTGTCCGGCTTAAGTGCGGCTGAAGCCAAGGTACAATACCGCTGGAGGTTTATCGGTATCGTTTGTGATCACTGAAATGTGACTGATCTGATTTTTGTTGTTTGTGATTGGTCAGAATGAGAGGGGAAGCGTGGGCGGTGGTCCTTCTCCCTTGACTCATCACTTGAGTTTGCCAAAAACTGCAATGGAGATGGCGGCCGTTGAGAAGTTATTGCAGTACTCGGATTCTGTTCCCTGTAAAATTCGTGCCAAGCGTGGCTGTGCCACTCACCCCCGAAGCATTGCAGAGCGGGTGAGCTATATTTTAGTTTCTAATCCCCAAAATTTTCCCATTTTTCCATATGTACCTGGATTGTTTATCCTATTATGCAGAGTCAATTAGTATGTCTACCATTATTTTTGCTCGCATAAAAATGTCAAACAATGCATTTAACTATTTATCGAACAAATGTTGAATCGGGGAAAGGAAATGACTGAGCAAATGAGGGGTTGGTTCAGGTTCGAAGAACTAAAATTAGTGAGCGCATGAGGAAACTACAAGATCTGGTTCCCAACATGGACAAGGTAAGATATAATCGAACTAGCCATTTCCCTTGGGGACACTGATGATGAGGCCGTGTCATGCAAACGTATAATATATTTGCTTCCCTTTCCAGCAAACAAACACGGCAGACATGTTGGACTTGGCTGTCGACTACATTAAAGACCTTCAAAAGCTGGTCCAGGTATATCATAATCCCCGCCCATCTTAACTATGTCCATCTGTGGTATATGTATATGGGTGCAGATCTGCCCATTCAATTGGACTTACTTTCTTCCCACATGATTGTGCAGACACTTTCAGACAGCCAATCTAGGTGTACGTGTTTACGGAGGCAGCACCAATAACGGGAAAGAGGGTGGTGGATGCAAGATTCTGCGTTTGTACAGATTTGTAACGAATAAATATGCTTGAGTAGATGTAATTGAACTGGAGAGCTTGCTTCTGTTTCTTCACTGATTAAGAGAAATGCATATCATATATATATATATATATATATATAGATCCAAATATACATCGAGGATACCATATGAACATAGCCAGGGCAAGATGTGAGAATTTTGAAAAACCATCCTGACTTGCACGGGCGGCATGTATTGATTGTAGTTTAATAATCAGACTATCCGGGTCATATCCTGAAAAAATAATAATAATGATCTTTGTTATTTGGAGAAAGCAATTAAAGAATTTTAAATTAAAGAAAATAAAAGCAAACAATTAAATTAAATAATCAAAGCAGTTAAATGAGAAAGCAATATTCGAATCAACAAAAGCTAGGGGGTCAAGATTCTTCGGATTTTTTATCCTATTTATCCAATTGTTCATTTTCAATTATAGAATAATCGTTGTTAAAGTATTTTAATTACTTCTCAGTAAATTAGATTGTATATGTTTAAGATAAAATTAGCTCTCGCTAACCCACTTAAAATGTTAAATAAACCATGAAGTTCCGATTTAAAGTGTTATAAATTTCTAAATTATCTTTAAGTTAGTTATTTAAATCTAGGACCCTAACTTTAGACCCGTTCTTCATCTCTCAGATCTTCAGACAGTTTTACACAGAAACCATATGGCAGCCAACATATGATAAGAATAAAAACAAAGGAGAGAAGTATAAAATGAATTAATAAATGATAATTCATAAATTCAGAAGTCCAATAGGAACAAAGTTCAAAGCAAAGAAAATGCATCCCAACCAAGCCATTATATACCTTAATCAGAGATTTAGAAAGAAATAAGCATGATTAAAATTTTTTAGAAAATACATAAAGATGAAAGAAATCAAATGAGGAATTTCAACTCTCAGATCAGATGTGACTTTCTCCAACCTCTGTGATGCCTCTCTACTGTATGGGTGATTGGATACTTTTGAAAGGTTTCGTGGAGGTTTATTTATAATTTCCTGTGACCTTCTGGCCTTGAATTCAGACAATTTACTTCCCTATTGTATCTGATTTTAACATAATTGATTTAGATTTTATCTGGACTTCAAAATTGAAGATGCCACGTGTCCATGACTCACGTCGGGGCGCGGTCAGGCAAAGTTTATTCATGTCCTAGCACGGGTGATTGACGAAGAGAGTGTATCCGTGTGTTCCTCCACGCACAGGAGATTGTTGGACCTTCAGGTTGTTCGCACGCGGTTCTTTTCGTCTCAATACTTCTCCACGCTCGGTCATGGTGCTAGGAGGTGATTTCTTCGTGCTCAGTTATGTCTATGTGTGGAGATCTCTTCTTCTAAGCATGCTCCTGAGTGGAGGTACTTGAAAACAACCATCTTTCTCACCCTCTTTTTGTCTTTGCGTGGAGATGTTTTTAGAGTTTCCTTTGTTCATGAAAGGAGGTGCCTTTTTTGGGCTTCCATCGTTAGGCTTTGCCTCCCTTGCATTTTTAAACATTTTTTTAATCTCTTTTTGCTTCTTTTTCCTCTGAAATCACCACAAATTCACCAAGTGAGATGTACCCCAAAAAAAAAAAAAAACTAGGTGAGAAATGTTACATCATTTTTTCTCTTAATTTCCATAATAAACACCAAATAAATGGATAGAATATTTTAAAAAATAGATAATATAGTGTTTGCATAAATTGTTGGAGGTTAGAAATAAAAAAACAAAAAGAAAAGAAATTGAAAACATGATGGTTTAGACATTTGGTGGCTTAACAGCTGGTTATTTGAGGAGGGGAGTTGCACGGGGGATAGCGCATGCGCGCACTTGCTTCGAGCTGAGGGAATTGGTGTGACGCTTAAGTGCAATTGGGAGTGGGGCCTCAGATGGGCAGCCATTCAACTGGTGACTTTGCGCTTTGTTTCTATTTTACTCTTTTTGGGCTTTTTGTTGGCTCTGTTCAGTGTTATGGATCAGAGGCAACCGGAGCAGCACCAGAGTCCTCCGTGGAAGTGATGACGTCATAGATGATGTCATTGCCGAAGCTTGTAGGCTTGCAGCAGGCATTTTAATTTACAAATAATAATGTCCTTTAATTACATTATGTGTAGAAGAAGAATTGCAGGGAACTTAAATGAAATGTGGGAAAGCTAGAAAAGATTAGTGGGTTAAAGTTGGACATATGTAATATAAAAGCTGAATATAGACAACTTTGTTAAAAGCTCTCTGAAGTGCCTTGTGATGTGATTTTGGTCAATGCTAATAAGAGTTAGAAATGAGTGGGGTGGAGGTTTGCTAGAAGAGATCGAAATGAATTTGTTTCAGCAGGAAGTAAAATTGGAGTTTGAAACAAGGAATTAATTGGACAGCAGTGATAGAAATAATGGGTTAATGTAACTTGCTTCCTTCCAAAAGCTTCCCCTAATGGAGCGTCATTTAAAGGCGGTTGCAAAGAAGGTTCAATCTGCCATGTACTAATTCCTTCGGCTAATTTATTCTTTGAGGAAGCCATGGCGGCATGATGCCACACCAGGTTCGGAACATGGAGCTGTGAAGTCGTGATTTTTACACTCGTGGTGGTGCTGGCCCTCATCTAATCTGTGATACTTCTTATTCTATGCCTCGCGGTTCCCAGATAGAGCCGGGAATAAGAGCCGGGCCTAGAGGGCCGGCCTGAAAGCCCTGTTTAAATAAGGGTTCGGGCTTTGAAAATAAATTTTTTTTAAAGTAATCGGGCTTGAGGGCTTGGCCCTGATAAGTCCTGTAAAATAGGGCTCGGGTCCGGGCTGCCCTTCAAGCCCTGTTATATTATTTTTATTATTTTTTTTAGTAAAACACGTGTTTGAAATCAATGACCTGCTCACCTGATCCTACATACATTATATTATTATTAATTTTAATTTATTCTAAAATTAATTTAATCTAATTTAATAAATATAAGTGTATAGTATAAAATTTATGATATTTTTTATTTTTTTATAATTATTATGTTTGTATATTTATAAAAAAATGAACTATTTTTTAAATGAAGATTTAAATTTTATTACTAGACTTCTAATGTATGTTATTTAATTTTTAAAAAATTATGATAATTTTAATTTTTTTTAATTTTAAAATATTTTAATTTATTTATAATGTTTAATTTAATTTAATTTTTTTTATTTTTTAAGAAAGGGCTTACGGGCCTGACCCTGAGCCCTGAGTATAAGGGTCGGGCTTGAGAAATGGGGGTTAAAATGACAAACCGGACTTTAGAGCTCAGGCCCTAAAAGACCGAGCTTATAAGGGCCAGGCTCTTAAAGACCGGGCCCGCCTGTATTTACAGCTCTAGAGATAAACATGAAACCCCATCTCCCATCCCTTGTTCTGGCCTCCCGCTCAAAACCCGAAAGAGGATGAATCAATCCCTTCCACCCTGGAAGTCCCTTTCCAAAAGCAAATATTTTCTGCCTTCTCAGGAATGCCCCTGGCTTCTTACCACATATCCTTCCTGGACTCGTTCTTTTTTGTCATTTCGTTCGCTGTCATTGCCATCCTCTTCAGTCTTCCAGGCTTTCCGCCCCCCACTAGACACTGTACCTTCCACTCTCCATTGTCTTTTCCCCTTTTTCGTTCTTTTATGCGGACCAAATTGACCTCACAATCCTATTTGCCTGCGCGACGTGCTCACGAGCAACGCGGCGAAGAAAAGTTGCGGCGAGCATGGCATTATCTATTCGGGAAGGTCCGGGGGCATAATGGTAAACTCCCTTCCTGCGGCTGTGAGGTCAAGAGAGACCCGATATGTACTTTGTGGTCGTCCCGCGGATACTCGCTTAGATATGGAGATGCCTGCCAGTGAAGGGGAGGCGAGGCAGGAAATAGAGGGAGGCATCGCAAGAGCAGAGGAGCTTCGAGCACTTCGCGCTGCTTTCTTGCAGGGGAATCCTCCTTCCCACTTCTCTGGCCGCCCCTACCCTCTTTTCACTCCTGTAAGCTTCTCTCTCTCTCTCTCTCTCCCCCCCCCCTCGCCCCTGTTTCCGAATAATTCCCCCAATCTCTGATCAATTTTCTTACTTGACTTATTTCTTGACAATACAATCATGGCCAGAGCTACGAAGACGAGCCGGCGGCAGCTTATCAACAGACAGTCTCGAGTTGGAACGAGAACCATGTCAAAGCAGGGCCATATACGGACATCGTCGTGCCCCATTCACACTCAAGAAAGGGACTCACTTTTGCTTTTGCCAATCCCAGCCTTCACTCTCATTTATGCCCGGCTGATGATAACAAATCCGTAAATGGTTCGGGTGCCGACAACACTACCGTCCTTCAAACATCACCCGCCACCAATGGTAACGACTGCTTCAAGTCCGGGCGAAGAAACAGCTTGGACGATTTCAACTCTCTGTCCTCCTGCAATAGATGTCAGCCTCTCCTCATCACTGCAAAATCTGAAAACTCCAGTAACGCCGATACTTCCACTGTTCTTGTCCCTCTTGTCGATTCTCGCCTGTCTCTTCCATCGCAACCCAAGAGTAAGGGCGTTATTTCTTGGCTGTTCCCTCGGCTAAAGAAGAAGCATAACAAGAACGAGACTTCCCCAAACAGAACGGAGTCCGAGGAAGTTTCTCAGGTTCTTAAGGATTTGGGAAACCTGTCGATCGAGGCACTGAAGAAAGAGCTCATTGAAGCAAATGAGAACAGAGATGCCGCCTTAATGGAGGTGTCAGAGATGAAATCTTCATTTGGGGAGCTTAAACAAAGGTTGGAGTACCTGGAGAGTTACTGTGAAGAGCTGAAGAAAGCATTGAGACTAGCAAAGGATTGCCGTGTTCATGAAAAGCTCAATAATCTGCCCGAGAGAGGAAAACCATCTCTTGGGAGCGCGGAAAATGTGATGCCTGTGAGTGAAGAAGTATTGGTAGAGGTGTTCTCGCAGATAGTATCGGAAGGCAGATTATCAGTGAAGCAATTCTGTAAAACCCTCGTAAGCCAGATTGAAGAAACTGATCGTGCCTTAACTCAGAATCTAAACCAGCTTCTCCAACCATTCAAGCTGTCTCTGAACGCCAAGTACTCGAAGGCAGTGTTATACCATTTTGAAGCTTTCGTTAATCAGTGTCTCTACCAAGACTATGAGAATTGTGTGTTCCAAAAGAATGGATGCCCTAGATTCTTGGATCCACGGCAGGGTCGCCAGGCACATTTCTCATCATTCGTGGCGCTTAGGAATCTGAGCTGGAACGAGGTATTGAGAAAGGGGACAAAATATTACAGCGAGGAGTTCAGCAAGTTCTGCGACCGAAAAATGAGTTGCATTATCACTTGTCTAAATTGGAGTCGAGCTTGGTCTGAAGAGCTGCTCCAAGCATTCTTTGTTGCTGCAAAATGCATATGGTTGCTTCATTTGCTGGCATATTCCTTCAACCCACCATTTGGAATTCTGAGGGTGGAAGAAAACACGAGATTTGATGGGCATTACATGGAAGATATGTGTGGGGATAGGCAGAGATTACGGGGGCCAAGCAGGGTGAAGATGATGGTGATGCCTGGGTTCTATGTGGGGGATAGGGTGTTGAGGTGTAAGGTTCTTTGCAGGTACAAGTCTGCAACCTAGTCGGTGTTGCTGCTGTTGTTCATTTTTGTTGTGCACTTTTTCTGTCATTTTCACTTTCCTGTCAATAGTCTATCTATACCTTGCCCAATGGATGCGATCCTTTGAATTTTGGTAACCGTATGTCAAAATTACACATAAAACTGTGTTCCTGACTCCCCGTGAAGCAAAGCATGCAGTGCAGTTGAGAAGTACATCGCGAATCACGATGCAGTCATGAATGCTGTTGGATATTCCAATTTCCAAGTCCATCCTCCATTCTGCTGTCAAGAAAGGGCCATAAGCACAGAAACTTTGGCATCCTTGAAATTGAATGCCATTCTGTCCATATATCAAAGTCAAGGCTGAAATGTACAACTGTTATCACACATCAAGCGTCATTTTAATTTTGTCTTCATATTGACGCAATTGTTTTTTAAAAACTTTGATGCAAAATATAGACAAGGAACTTTTATATATACACACACACACATATATGCATAGCATTTTTTAAAAAAGAAAAAAAATAGGATGAGTGACTTGGGCAATGTACTAATTCATGCCGAGAGATATTAATATGGTTCACAATAAAATTAATTATTTCCCTATCATCATTAGCATAAATAATTCCATAAAATAAAAAATTTGTGGTGTGGGGTGAAAACGATATCTTGCTCACTTATACACACACCTGTTTTTTGAGAAAATGGGTGCTGGCTTACCCAATTGAGCAACAGAAATGTGGATTGCAAATATTTGAGCCAGTTTTGTGGCTTGGATTGACATGCATAATCAAACAAATTTTATTATCTCCCATTCAAAAAAATATTTACTGGATGTGAATTGTTAAATGAAACTAAATGGGGAAAATAAACACATCAATCAGTTTAAAAAGATAAAAAAACATTTATCTAATTTTATTTATAAGTTACTTTTAATATGTTTCACTAAAATCAAGAAAAATTTTAAAATTTATTAATTCTATCTAAAAATTTAAAAAAATTTTAACTTTACTTTTATTAAAATATACATTATTTAATAATATATTTTCTCAGTTCAACTTTTAATGAAAAAGAAAAGCATCATTTATAATAAAAATTTAATAACATAATTTATAAATAAGATAAAAAAAATCTGTTCTCTTGGTAGGAGCATGCCATTGCAGACTGCAGTTGTAGTCATACAGATTGGTTGTTACTTGTTGCTATTAGTCCGTGCAAGAATAAGTAATTACACAATGATACTCAGCAAGTACTCAACTGTGTGATACTGGATCCCATGGATACATGACGTGATATAACGCCACTTGAGTAAACAGATTCCTTTTAAGTTGGGTCATAAAGGGGGGCGACCCCGTGCTTCCTCAGACTTTTCTGGGATTAATAACTCTAATTTATATTCTTTCAAGAAAGGAGGCACCTATAATAGCTTTGGAAGATTACAGTGGAATTAAAGTGAGTTCTTTACTCGGGAACTGGGAACAGGATTCAGGAAGATTACCATGTTACCGAGTCCTTATTCTAATTGGAAAGGAAGACGTGAGATTTCACCCCTTGAACTTCGAGTAATATTTTTAATGAAATTAGGAAGATCATAATGCGAGAGTGGATCATTATATATGATTTATGGTGTCGTAGAGAAGCAAATACATATACCAAGTAGTTGACGCATCAATCATCATGCCGACGGTGTTGATGACGATTACTTCAATACTTCGTGATGATGATGATGATAGATTCCCTTCCCAACTCCGACGTGATTCCCATAATGAGTTTTTTTGGTTCCATACGTGGTCATTTTGTATTGAAAAAAAAAAAAACGTGTTGGTTTTGGTTTTGGAAGTGGGTGAAAACCATTCAAGAAAGAAGGAAGGATTTTTGTTTTTTTTTGGGGGGGGGGGTGGTTTCAGATATGGCGTTAAAACCAACCGCCATCTCATGAGTTTGATTAATTGATAGGAATTCAAGGCGTCATTGACATTGAGTTTGTCTATGGACCGTTGATCATTGAAACCAGACCCCTGATTAAAGTAGTGCCCCTTCAGTGGCAAACAATCAACTCGAATGGCAGAATATATAGTAGCGGTTGGAAAGTAAAAAATCCTTACTGCAAATTTTTATCTAATAGCTAATAAAAAAAATAAATGTATGAAAAGACTCCTCATTTTCAAAACACATAATCACGTTTTATTCAAAATAAAAATTTATAAAAATATAATATTTTTAATAAATATATTAATAACTAATTTTGGATAATATAGATTTTATTTGAATAGTTTAATTTAATATTAATTTTTTATTTTTTATAAATTGACCATTCAAATGTATTATGAACAGTTCATATTTGATATTAAAAAAGTTTATAATCCTTAAAAATGTTTGAGATTTTTTGTATATGTTGCCTATTTTACAGAATCAAACCAAATAAACAACCTAACATTTATTATATTTTGAATTATGGCTCTTATATTTAGTTAAGTTTTATATGACAAAACTATTCTAGGATCTCCCATACCAATCTTCAATTAACTACCACATCTAAAGTAATTAAGGATTTAACTCTAATAAGGATTATCAAGTTTGTAAAATAATACAAATTGAGTATCCCAAGTTTTATAATTTAAAACACAACCATACGAATTTAGCGTTTACAATTTAGAATTTGAAACATATATGGAAACATGAAATCCGTTTTGAGTTAGTACAATTCCAAGAGAAGTAAGAAAACATATTTTCCCAAACAGTGTGATGCGCAGCGGTGCATTCCAAGACTTTAACAGCCATTTTGCTGTCAAATGACATCACCCAAAATGAACTTTTGACGCATCCCAAATCCCTTTTCGATATTTGTTTGAGGTGATTTAGGTATTTATAAAGATTTTTCTTCTCACTTTAACTAATGGCATAGGTTTCATAATTAAATTATTTTTCCATCAAAAGTTGAACACCTTTTATGTAAACTCACTCATTTTTCACAATAACCCATAATTTGGTGCTTAAACCACAATACATATACTAAAAGCCTACATCAACTTTTATACCACACTCAATAGATTATTTTGGACTTGTGCAACACACCGCAATCAAGCAAAATGCATATTTCGTAAATTCAACGCTCAATTTCTTGATTCATAAAAACGTGAGGGGGAGTCAAATATGCACAAAACCATTCAAATCACCATAATTATTCATATATATAAGTTTCCTATTTGCACTAGTATTTTAGCTTTATATAACACTTACCATTCAATCATGGACAACTCAAGGCACAGAATACACATTTAAACAATTCCACTAGTAGTGCAAGCAGTTCCAAATCAACCATATGTGACCCTAGTTGGCAATAAAAAATAAAATACACATAAATAAGTATGGAGGCCTACTTGTGGGATTTACACCAAAATCCTAAGCCTCAGAACATTTTTCCAACTCCTGATTTGATCAGTCAGATCCTATGATATTGAAAAATGAAGTGTACAACTACTCAATAATCAATGTTAATCTAACCTATAAAGTTGCATATCAATTAACTCTGGATACAAATGGCAAAAAAATCATCATTATATAGACATATATTGAATATAGTCTTAGTCACGGAAATAAAACCATATGATTGGACGTGTAACACATAACATCAGATATGTGACAATTATGCACATCTTGAGGTCGCAAAAACAACAATCACGCGTCTCTAAAAGACATGTTGGACTGCAATAATAACAATCATGTGGCCGGAACTATAAATGCATGATCAATGCCAACCTTATACCCTTCTATTACCTCCAACATGAAATCGGTAGCTATCAATGACTATATTTGTAACTCAGACTAACCCAACCTTTTACTTGTAAAAAGCTACCAAGTCAAGGTTAACTCACCCACTTGTATTCCATAGTTTTTCTCAATATTAACAATCATGGGATGTCATACCTGTAATCTAACCTCCTCATGAACTAATACAGACTAGTTAGGTTTTAATCTCTTGAATAATAAGTGGAACAGTCTTTAATCAACTATGGGACAATGGCTATCTTGCGACTCCAATGGTTAGTGCCAAGGCAAGCTTCTGATTTCAACAGTGAGCTGCTGTTGGGATTTACCAATTTACTCCTCTCACTATAAGCAAACTCTTGCCTCAATGATCATGCTATACACATATGTTTGCACTCAAATTGTGAATTTAAAGGCTCAGGCTCAACTCAACTAAATCGGCTTTGAAATAATTAAAAAAGAATATTTATGAAACCTTAACTACTACGACAGGATTGAGTTTAGGCCATTATCTCCACACTCCACCCATAATTAGTGACCACGATAGAGGAAATACTTCCTAAATTTAAGGAAAGCAGCAATCATGAGACTTGAATACTAAGTTAGGATCATCTATAAATAGAGGAGCTCTCTCTTAACAACAATTATCATCAGCATTAACAAATTATTAGTCAAATTCTCAGACTCCGTGTCTACTACTTTATTTTATTTTTTCTTTTATTATGTAATTTTAGTCTTTACTTTTCTATTATATGGTCAGCATAACCCGCCACCTCTTTCTTTGATTAATGTGTCTTTACTTCCTTGCATCTACATTAATTTTGAACTGTGGTAAGGGAGTCCAAATTCTCCGCATTTGATTAGAAGTTAGGTTTTCCATTTTGTTGAAACCTTGCGTCTCTAGCACGCCTTACAACACTCCCTTTGTTTTTGCTAAACAATTTTTGGCACCCCAATAGGACCCGTGTGAACGAAATGCTTAGGACATATAAAGATTAATATATTATTGAAAAGAATGAACCTAAGTCTTACGACTCAGAAAATGTGGCTATACACATAGAACGTGAAGTACAGGCCTCTTATACTCTAGTAACCATAGGGCGACAGGTAACACCTCCTCAAGGAATGCTTTACCCACTAGGTTGGGACAAGAGTCTCAAATCCTCTCATTCAAGTAACCCTTCTATTATTGTGTCTAATGATGCTGTAGCTTTCAATAACTCATAAAATCATTAATGTGGAGTTTAAATACTCTAAACAAATCTCATTGTCTCTATTTTAGCTAATAGATTTGGACTCATAGCTCATTTAGAGCAAATTATTTTCTCAATTCAAAATCTAACTTTAACTTTCATAAAAACGAAAGGAAAGATAGAAGCATAATGCACTTACATTGAGTGTTAAGAAGTTTTAAAATATCTCCAATGATCCCTAAATTCGTGCCCTAACAGAGCAAGTGATGTGCTTTGATTTTCTCCTTATCCTCTCTTCTAATTTTTTGCATAGATATGAGTTGGTTTAAGCAAAATTCTAATAGTGCAATACGGAGCATGGCACAAAGAAGTCCACTTAACATTGGTTGCCTCTATGCACTGCAACGGATGTGCTGCACGCTACGATATATGATAGAGGTTCTCACTTTAGCTTTTCTTGCCTTTTGATGCTTGAGCACCCTACTTCACTTCAAATTCAAATTTAGGGTTAAAATCATAACTAAATACATTTATTAAACTTCTTTGACCACATGCTTCATTAATTAACTCAAGTAATCTCTTTTTATTTAAGTTAATCCTAGTTAATTTCCCAACATATTAACCAAATTTTTATTTTCATATATACAATATTAAAAATAAAGATAATATTTATAGCAATTTCCAAAAAAAATATTTTTTTAAAAAAATTATAAGTTAAAAATTTTAAACATGAATCAAAATAAATTTGAACTGTCTTGAATACACCTAAATAGTCAATATATAAAAAATAAAAAAATTTAATATTAAATTATGTCATCCAGATAAAATCTATATTATTCAAATTAATGATTACTAAATGAATTAAAAGTACTATTTTTTTAATAAATTTTAGATACTGCATGATTGTGTGTTTTGCAAATGAAAAATTTGTTTATACACCTGCTTCATACCGGTCATTAGATTAAAAACACAACCACTAGTGCACCTTTACCGCTGATCTGTATCCAGCCCTCCCTATATAAAAGAGCAAAAAGGGTAAAGAAAACGTGAATAGCTCCAAAGCCATAAACCTACCACCACTTTGGTCTTCGGCACGCACAGTCAGAGGGGTCAATCAATTCAAAGACCATCATCCTCTTTGTTCGGCCGGGAGTATCCGTGACGATGGCTCCGACCAAACAAGACATGGACATAGTGCTGTTCCCTTTCATGGCCCAAGGTCACATAATTCCTTTCCTCGCTTTAGCGCTTCACTTGGAGCGAAAGACAGGCAATACCATCACCATGGTCAACACCCCTTCCAACATCAAAAAGCTGAGGGCCTCTCTCCCGCCACAGTCCTCCATCAACCTTCTCGAAATCCCTTTTCAAGCTTCCGACCACGGCCTCCCTCCCAGCACCGAGAACACTGATGTTGTACCTTACACTCTCGTCATTCGTCTCCTGGAGGCCACCACTGCTCTGAGGCCGGCATTCCACCTCGTCATCCGCAATCTCATCGACTCACAACCCCACCGACGCCCACTCTGTATTATAGCCGACATTTTCTTGGGATGGACCGCTAGTGTGGCCAAAGAGGTCGGTGCGTTCCACGTCATCTTCAGCGGTGCCGGGGGATATGGCCTAGCCTGCTACCATTCTCTCTGGTTCCATCTCCCTCATCGGAACCGACAGAGCGACGAGTTTTTGCTACCCGATTTTCCAGAAGCTGGTCACATACACAAAACACAGCTACCAACCAACATAGCGGAGGCGGACGGCAGCGATGCGTGGTCGGTATTCCAGAAGAAAAATCTTTCTGAGTGGGGCAAGTCAGACGGGATGCTGTTCAACACAGTGGACGAGGTTGACTCTGGTGGGCTGCACTACTTTACCAGAAAGCTAGGCCTCCCAGTTTGGGCGATCGGGCCGGTCATTTTATCGACGGGCAGCGGATCGCGTGGGAAAGGAGGCGGAGTGAGCCCGGAGCTGTGCCGAGAGTGGCTGGATATGAAGCCAAGGGGTTCGGTGCTGTACGTGTGTTTCGGGTCAATGAATACGATGTCGGAGTCACAGATGATGCAGCTGGGGATGGCGTTGGAGGGGAGCGGGAGGGATTTCATATGGGTCGTGAGGCCGCCAACTGGGCACGACATCAATTCCGAATTCCGGGCTCAGGAATGGCTGCCGCCAGGGTTCTTGGGGAGGATTCAAGAGTCAAGGAAGGGGTTGATAGCCATTGACTGGGCCCCCCAGCTGGAAATACTGTCCCACAAAGCCGTGTCTGCATTCTTGAGTCACTGTGGTTGGAACTCCGCGTTGGAAGCGCTGAGTCATGGCTTGCCCATCCTGGGATGGCCCATGGCAGCCGAGCAGTTCTTCAACTGCAAGTTTCTCGAACAACAGGTGGGCGTGTGCGTGGAGGTGGCTAGAGGCAAGAGCTGTGAGGTTCGGCACCAAGATATAGCCGCCAGCATTAACGCGGTGATGGCTGATCAGGGGAAAGGGAGGCACATGAGAAGCCAAGCTCATCGTCTCAAGGATATCATTGGCAACGCCACTAGAGATGAGCTTGCCTTTATGGGCTCTTCTATCAAGGCCCTGCGTGCCTTCCTGTCCGCTGCCGCCAACGTCGAGGCCAGCGTCCCCACTGAATCGTGATCGGAAATAGCATACACATTCTTGTATGTGCCTGAACGCAGAAAATGTAGCAATGTTTTTTGTTTTGTCGTTTTGTGTTATTCTTCGATATCATCTTGTCATGGAAACAATCAGACTACTGAATAGTGAGTACTCACTCATCGTGTGTTAGTTCATTGACATTCCCCTCGCCCCACCCCAAAAAAAAAAAAAAAAAACAAAAAAAAAAAACAAACAACAAGCAAACAAACCAACAAACCCATGCGGGGTAAAACTTCAGCAAGCTTTTGGTCGGCAGCTCTATGCAGCACGTTTTTTCCTGTAATTATGGACTATGGTAGCACCAATTGCCACGAATCATGTTTATGTATACGAGGATTATACCGTTGCAGCGATGCGAACTGACGTGTGTAGACATGAAAGGAGAGCATCAGGATGCACGCGAACTCTCACCCTCGCTCCACCAAAAGCTAACCGATAAACTGGTAGTCAGAGATCGGACATAATGCCACCACCTTGGTGGGATATATAGCATTTCGCCTTCTTCTAGAACACAGTCCACGAATTCCAGGTCTTGCACCTTCGGAAACTCCATTTCATTTATATCATCTAAATCGACCTTCAAACAAATATTTACCAATCAAAATGGATATAAAGATTTCAAATCAACACCTCATTTAAGAAATAACAATTAAATGAACATAAATAAATCATGCATGCCAGATATTAGATTGCCATAAGTTCAAGCATGCAAAGCCACTTGGCTGCCAGTGCAAACACTCGTAAAGGGAGGCCCCATAATTCTGGAAACATTGAGGGTACATTAAATCATACTTTTAGTCTCAGAAATCTTTGGCCATTCAAATAGGGGCGCGGCGAAGTGGTATGCTCCCAGCAAAGAGTAACGCACAAGTAAACTGGTATACAGGTGGCCAGTTAATTATCTCAATTTGACTACGTACCTGGCTGGAATTACGAAGCATGGTTTCCGGGTAGGGATAAAGTTCGTCAGAAAAAGATGAAGAGTAAAGCCTGATATATTTCTTTCCCACTACCTGAAATCATCAAACATAACATTGATCCCAGTCATGCTCATATCATTTTACGTAATGGGGCTTCAGATAGCTTTCAAGCATGTAAACTAACAGGAGAGGAAGAGAAGTCCAAACAGGATATGAATCCGTACTGTTTTGGGAGGTGTAGAAAGTTGACAACAGAAACGATAATGAATTGTAAGAGTGCCAAGATTACGAGAATCATTTTCTTATTTGGCTTAACACATGATTTACGATTTAGAGAACTTAAGGATGGAAAAAAAAGCCATGCACAATATATCATAGTTGTTCATAAGGGATTCGAATCTGTACACAGCTTCAAATGTCATCAGTACTCATGTTCATTGACTCACTCAAAGCTTTGAACCTCATCTTTCGTGATGGCCATCCTGGACATCCTTTCTGGGAAAAAGTACAAGGCATCCGCTACAACATGGCTGAGCTAACTGGGTCTGAATTACATCATTTTTTACCGTGAGGCAATCAGCCGACCTCATTGCCAAGAGTGCTCATCATAGCATCCCTCTTACCACTTACCTTGATCACTTTATTCCAGAATGTACTGTTGTTTATAGGCATAAAAAGATATAACTTTTCTCGCCTCTTTTGACTTTGTAATCAAGCTTTGCTTTCCTTTTCTTCAAGGGGACAAATAAAAGTTGTTGATATAAATTATATTTATAAAAAATCTTTTATCCATGAAATATGAGTACTTTAGGAAAGAGCTATCTCCACGTCTGTCGCAGAATACTTGTATTAACAAGACGCAACACTTCAAATTTTGTCTTCCACCATCTTTGTGATGTTCTGTGTCCATACTTCTCGGGCCTTTATTCAGAAAGATTTTAGCAATGTCTGCCAAGAAATTAAATTATCAAGGCAGTCATAACAATCAGTCACCCAGATTTTAGATACAATTTTATTCTAGCAAGAAAGAATGGAGATTAAACGGTAATAGCATTGCTAACAGGTACAAGGTGACGGTTTTCATGCAACAGGCAACACTTTCTCTCATTTAATAATTAACCTTGTGAATATGCTCACAGAAAAGTGAGGATAGGTAACACAACAATAAATTGAAATAGCAGAAAATTGTAAAAGTTCTATCTTCCAAAATCTTCTTGATATTACTTAAACTGTGTTACCTGCGCTAATACATTATGGTGTGGATCATGGTGTAAAGGCGTTACTGTCCCAGCTGGACCAAACCAAGCATTGACAGATCTAAGCTCACCTCCGTCAGTAAAACAATAGTCTGGTATACAAATATCTTTCCGAAGCTCAGTTATCTGTCATGTCAATAACATCAGTAATTAAAAGCAGTATGACTATGAGAGCAGCACTTGCATACCAAAATTACATACGTTAGAAATGCAAAACGAAAGAGCTACATAATATAAACCTGATCAAATAATGGATGCTGAGCAAGATATGTAGGGCCCAGAGGTGAGCAGCCAGGAGAATCAATCCGCTGAAGAAACTCGGAGAAAGTAATTAGCTCTTGCTTCCACTCTGCACTTAGGTAGTTCTTCCCGACCTGTAAAGCAAGCAAACATTACCCTATCCTTTAAATATTTATTAATTGAAAAACGTATGTATGATATTTTTGCCTCAAAAATACATGTATGTTATGATTACCAAAAAAATAAAAAATATTATTTAACCCCAAAAACGAAAATGTATGTTAAGAAGAGACACTGGGGGAAGTTAATTTACAGTTTGGTGATCGTTAGTGATGGTAAGTTTAACGCAAAAAAGCAAAAGATTGTATTTTCAGAGGGGGGAAGGTACCTATCTTCCCCCCTTTTTTTCTTGTGCCAATGGAAATCAAACAAATGCAACTGCTCTCTCATGCATTACCTTTGTTTTTAAAAGGAGAGGAGGTGCATTTTTTAAATTTACAAAAGTAAAAAAAAATTTAGAGTAATTACCTCGACTGGAATTGTACGGTCACCAGCAACTCTCTTCAAATAATCTCTGTTATTCCATTTTGCCTTGGCTGGCCAGTGATCCATACAATCACTGATAATAACTGGGGAACGGGATAGGTAATAATCTTTTAGAAATCTTTCCAATGACAGAGCTGCCTTCTTCAATACAGTTTTACTTGAAAGAGACTTGAAAGGTAGAAGTTGGAGCACCTAGAAATGTGAAAGCTATAGCATAAACATTAGAAGGGCCATGCATTGTGGCGATAATCACTTCACTCAAATCCAACACCATGAGCACAATTAGGAAGGCAAGACAAATTTAAAAGTGAAAACCTAAAATTTCAACATTGCTAGACTATCATCTTATATCAGATTGGATTCAAGGGTGATGCACTGATGCTACTTGTTTTGTCCAGGAAACATAGTTTGGATTCTGACATTTTTCTGAAGATTTTTAACTACAATGAAATTTCTATTACATCAAAATTCTTAATAATACTTCAAAAATAAGTTAGAAGGAATCAGAGATGTATCTTTATATACTCAAGAAGTATCTTCATGACTTCATCCCCAATAAAAGTTCGTATGCGAGCTAAACGCATGATAATACATGTGAATATTTACCATTGATCAAAACCCCAAACTTTGCCAGACAAGTCCCAATTCACAATGACATTATTCTACAAGACGTACAATAGCAAAGCACAGTCGATCATCCAATCAGTAATTAATGTCAAGAAGGCGCATAGTCCGAAATTATATTATCTTGTTCATCCCAAGCTTCAGCAGTACAAAACCAAAAAGTTTCATTAAAGTAGAAAGAGGCATGGACCTCACCTCGGTGTTATTAAGTTGCTGATTAACAAGTGGATGCTCATACTTCAAACCTCCACAGCAATCTTCAGAAACCCCAATGTTTCTGACCTCCACCGAAACTTTCTCAACAGCAGAGTCCAAGTCCTTCCTTAGAAGCATTCCTCCCATGATAAGACCCATATCCAAAGCCCTAAGGGCCTCCTTGAACTCACCAGTTCTATAATGGTACCTGGCCACGAGGAGGCAAGCCATAGAGTATGCATCACGCCACACCGGGGGGACAGAGTACCAGGGCCCCGAGTGAAGCTGCTCCCACGCCATCTCACGAGCCGCTTCAGCAGCGCGAAAGTCACCGGCGGCCGCCAGAAACGCCATCCTGACATAAGCATAGCCTCCATGCTGGGAAATGGACTGAATGAGCCCCGAAGACTCCCTGTCTAATGTCGGAGTGTGAAGATCAGGCGACTCAACGCCGGACATGGCGGAGGCGGCGGTGGTTGACGAGGTTAGTCGCGCATCACTTGCGTCAGCGTAATAAACAAGAGCCTGTGAGATATTTCTTTTGTATCTGCGAAAAGCGAAAAAGATCCAACGCCTGACCCCGACCGATATTTCCTGCTTCCCCTTTGCGAAGATTCAAGATTAAGCCCATAGATTTGCGATCCGGATCCTCTCAGAGTCCCACTCCCACAATGACCCTGGCAGGCTGGAAAAACCTTCATCCTTCGATTCATATCCAATAACAAAATCATTTTATATTAAAATAATTTTTTACACCTTATTTCACTATTTTATATATATATATATAAAAAATTATTCAAATTGATTCTTTTTATTTTCAATACCTGTTCAAAAAAATATAATTTTTTGAATAAATTTTTATTAAATAAATTTGGTTTTGAATAAACCAAAATGTAAACTTCTTACAAGCTTACTCTACAAAATTTTTTAAAAATATAAATATAAGGTTTTTTTTTGGCCAAAAGAGAAATTTATTAATGCAAACAAAGCCAAAGTGGCAATGGCAAAGTTACATATGTAAACAATAAAACAAAAGGCAAGAAGAGTTACTCAACTCCATCACGTGGAGCCACAGGAACCACACCCTCCGCATCAGAAATTAAAAAAGGAAAAAGGGAGCGATAATGTGATTATTGCACAAGAAGCAATTCATACCATAAAAAACAAGCGTACAGGCAGAAGCTACGTGGCTATTAAAATTGATATGAAAAAAGTGTATGACAGGTTAGACTGGGGTTTTATTGAAGATACTCTTCACAATCTTGGTTTTGATAGTAATTTTGTGGCGATCATCATGCATTGCATAAATTCAGCTTCTATGAAAGTAATGTGGAATGGTGATACAACTCAAGAATTCTTTCCTTCAGAGGTCTTAGACAAGGTGATTCACTTAGCCCTTACATCTTTGTGTTGTGTATGAAAAGACTTGGGCATTTAATAAAGGCACAATGTGCTGAAGGAAAATAGAAACCTTTAAGGATTACTTCCGAAGGCCCTTTTATTTCCCACCTCTTCTTTGCAGATGACTTATTCTTGTTTGTAGAAGCTTCTTTAGAGCATATTGAGATCATTAAGGAAACTATAAGTACTTTTTGCAGTGTCTTGGGCCATAAAGTTAATCTTGCCAAATCAAAAATTTTTTGCTCTAAGAATGTCAACCATAATAGAGCAACTCAGCTTAGTCATATCATTGGCATTAGTCTCACCGCAGACTTGGGCAAATATCTGGGAGTTCCACTTATCCATTCTCATGCTTCCAAAATGATTTTCAATCCTCTTGTCATGAAAGTCAGGAAAAGATTATCTACTTGAAAAAGTAATTACCTAAACATAGCAGGGAGGTCAGTACTCATCAAAGCTATTTTATCAGCTATGCCCACGTGTCTAATGCAACAATGTTATTACCCACAGGCATTCTTAAAGAAATTGAAAAAATCTGCAAAGGCTTTTTATGGAGTCAAGAGGTAGATAAAAGGAAATTACACTTGATTTTTTTTTGATACAGTGAAATGCAGGAAAGAGTTGGGAGGTCTAGGGATTAAGGATCTCAAATATCAAAATACTGCTTTTATTATGAAGCTTTGTTGGGGTTTGATAACTAAACCAGATGCTCAATGGGTTCAATGCATAAGGAAGAAATACAAATGCGGAGATAACTTCTATCCTGAAGTCACTCGTAAACAGTGTTCCTTAGTGGTTTAGCAAGCAATCACTCACACTTGGGAAGATTTTATGAAAGGTGTGGGGAAAAAGATAAGAGGCGAACATAATACCAACTTTTGGTAGGACAAATGGTCATGCCTTGATCAACCACTTATTTATTATATTGATCAAACCTATAACACAATTAATCAGTCAGATGTGGTCGGCCAGCATGTGCTATCTACTGGACAACGGAATATTATTAATTAGATTAATGTCATACCATCATGGGTGATTAAGAAGATAAAGAGGTTAAAACCACCAAGTGGCTTTGAGGCTAATCAATTAAGTTGGAGATCTACTACTGATAGTTCTTTCATTATCAAATCAGTGTATGATTTTCTCCAAACTATTAATCATGGGTCTCTAGAACCTTTATGGAAGAAGATATGGAAATGGCCTGTTTCTAAAAGAATCAAGTTTTTCTTTTGGCAAGTTACTCATGAGAGATTACTTACAAATTCACTCAGAGCTTTAGGTGGTCTAACCACAAACAATGAGTGTCCATTTGAGTACCATAGAGAGGAATCCATCATACACATCCTTCGAGACTGTAAGATTTCTAAAAGAGTGTGGGAAAGAATTATTAATCCTAATGATTTTATTGATTTTTTCTCTATTGATTTGCAGGATTGGCTCAAATGGAATACTACTCACAACCCAGGAAAAAGCAAATTTAGAATATGGCCTTAGATTAAGGTTTTTTGTAATATGTTCTGGCTCTTATGGAAGACTCGATGCAAAGGACTCTTTGAAGGCTCTTTGAAGGAACCCAATTCAAGTCTAATGAGATCATACATCAGGGTCTTTACTTGCTGATGGAGGATTCAAGTACCAACAAGTTTAAACATGCAATATTCTAAGGTTTTTTAGATGACGCAGATAGATAGACCCTTCCACCTAAAGGCTATGTTTGTGTGGATGTGGGTGCTTCCATTAACCAATAAGGACATGCCACTTGCGGGGGAGTGTTCTTGAATGAACAGGGTGATTGGATTCTAGGCTTTAGACGTGAATTAGGAAGAGTAACCATATCAGTTGCCGAACTTCTTGCTATAAGAACAGGATTGGAGATTTGTAACCAACAAAAATTTCAAAAAATCAAACTCTTCTCTGATTCATTAGAAGCCATCAACATGCTTTTTAGGGATTGTCATTCTGATTCTTCATTTAATGAAGTAACGGTAATTCGTGATCTTATTTACAGCAATTGGGACTTTGTCATAAAACAAACGTCCAGAGAGAATTTGAGTTGTGCTGATTACTTAAACAAGACTGCTTACACTACTGGAGCAAACACTATTTTACTTTGGAACTGTCCCTTAGGTTGCTTAGACATCTTGTTGTCAGATAAGAGGAATGCTTAGTTTCTCTTTGCTTTTGTAATTGAAGCATTGGCTTGCCTTTGTAACTAAAAAAAAAAAGGAAAAAGAGAGGATGGGGAAGATAAAAGTCGCCCAGACTAACACATCCTCTTTAGAACTAAGCCTGCCAGATGATCTACAGCTCGATTATCATATCTAGTCACAAAGGAGAAATTAACATGATTTAACCTACACTTCAGATCAAAAACGTCCAGGAGTTGCTAGTAACTTTGCCAATCACAACCACGTGTGCTATTAGTAGAAATGGCCTTGAAAATAGTCATCAATCTCGATAATAGTGGCAGGAAGGTTGAAGCTTCAATAACTATAAGGGCAGTCTTGACAGCACGTGCTTTAATCTCCATTACTAAAGAAGTCTCACAACTCTCTGTCTAGCCATCGACCCATACACCTTAAGAGTCATGACAGATGACACCAATTCTAGCAGTCAAGTGACTCAATAACAAAGCACCATCCACATTGAATTTTAGAAAACTAACAAGTGGAGTAGACCTCATAGGAGATGCCTCGGGACATGTTGGTGGAGCTAATTCTGACTCATGAACAGGGTGCACAGCATGATTTTCTCAGACTATCCAAAACTCAAAGAACCCAGATTCAACAAGATAAATGGTTTTAGTTAGGTCGACAACAACATTCTAGAAGACAAATAGGCATCTTGATTTCTAAATTAACCATAAGGTAAATGCCCACCTTGTTCTGATTAATTCATCAAGGTCGCTATTTTCAAAAATCATCTCTGCTATGCATTTATCAAATCTTGTTGTGGCCATTTTATCCATGTGCAAGTTAAAATTGGAACCAAACCAAACATCTTTAACCCAATCAAAGTAGAAGAACAAGTGTTTAAGAGATTCAGAGCAGATCCATAAATAGGGCAAGTGCTATTCAAAACACATTTTTGTTTAAGCAAACCTACCTTTTATGCCAAGGACCCAAAGCATGCATGCCACAAGAAGTGCTTTATTTTTGGGGGTGCTTCCATATTCCATATACCCTTCCACAAGCTATCAGGAGGTCGCCATGAGTGGCTTGGATCAGGTAACGGGGAATTATCCCACTCTTTCCTTGCAGTTTTGTACCCGCTTTTGACTGTATACAATCCATCCTTAGCACTCAGCCAAATAGCCCTATCATCACGAGTAGAGCCAAAACTAGGAACTTTCAGGATATGTTCCATTTCCCTTAAAGAGATTCTATCTCGAATGCTATCTAAATTCCATTGCCCATTCTCAATAATATGATCTACTAAAATATTCTCTTTTTCTGCCATCAGGTTTTCAACCTTAAGCTTGAATCTAGGTAGCCCCAAAATCCATTAATCGGTAAAAATTTTAACCATGTCACCTTTACCAATCTGCCAGCAGAACTCTTTCAAAAATAAGTTTCATCCCTTTAAAAGACTAAACCAACCCCAAGATGCACAGGAGCCTTTTTTTTCTTGTAAGAAATTAGTATTTTTAAAATAAATACTCTTGATAACTTTAACCCATAGATCATTTGGATTGTGCAGCACTCGTCGTGCATTTTTAGCTAATAAAGCTAAATTAAAATCTTTAAATTCTTTAAAACCCATACCACCCACCTTCTTAGGTTTATTCCCACAATTTCCAATGGATTTTACAATTAGTGCCATTGCTGTCCCACTAAAAATTAGATATAAGGCTATCTAGCTCAGCACATTTTCTTCGGGAACTTGAAAACAGACATTGGTTAAACAGGGATTGAATTAGCCACAGATTTGATAAAGACTTCTTTCCTCGCATTAGATAATGTACTCCTTTTCCATCCTTGAATACACTTCCCTACTTTCTCTCTTACAAAGGCAAGAGTAGTAACCTTTGATCTTCCCTATAATGTAGGTAATCCAAGATAAGAGCCAGGATCCATAGTGTTTGGGATACCTAGATTAGTGCAGATAAAGTCTCAAAGTTCATCAAGTATGTTCTTAGAAAAGAAAACATATGACTTCGCATAATTAATCTCTTGTTTAGATACAGAACAAAATAGATCAATGAGCAACTTAAAGGTATCACATTCATTAGTAGAGCTCCGAAGAAAGAAAAAGGCATCATCAACAAAGAAAAAATGTGTTAACTTAAG